CTAACTTAAAGATAAATTTTAAATATTTTTTTGGAATAAGTAACAAAAAGTGATAAGAGCATTGATTAGATAATTGGTTTTGCAAAGTTATAAATGGACTAGGGGTCCAGATGGATTTGAAATAAGAATGTGAGATTGATTGTGGGGGTCCTTTCTATGGGAAAATGCAATTGTTTTGAATTCGTGGAAGAAAACATGGTAAGATGGGAATTTGAATAGTAGATGCTAGAAGTTGCTGGAGGATCAAAGATTGCATTAAAACAGAAAAACACATTTGACTACTAACACAGAATGGAACAAAATATATTACGTTGGATATTTGTGAGCAATGCATCCAGAAGTTAATTTTAAAAGTATCTGCCATTATAGATAGATGACTTTTAAGAGATGTTGTAGAACAGGAACTTTTAAGAGATGTTGTAGAACAGGAACAGATTTTGCTGAACAGGACTAGGACTGATTAAAAAGTGGATTTGAAAATGATAGGCTGAAATAGTGATATGGAAGATATTACACTGGGTATAAAAATGAAACCAGTGAATGTCTTAATAATTAAAAGGGATATGCAGGTGGCAAAGCAAAAGAGTGACTTAGATAACTTTCTTATCTTGGATTTACAAAAGAGATCTGATAAAGTTCTGAAAGGTTTTTTGAGAAATTGAAGTTCTAAGACATTATTTGAAGGGATTAAAGATCAAGATTTTTAGAAGAAAAGGGAAGTGATATAAAGTAGATTTAGTTGAATGAGGTTAAAATACAGGTAATCCTCAACTTACAAACTTTTTTGCCATATTGTTAAACAAATGACTGCAATTTTTAAGTGACTCGTGTGGTTTTTAAGTGAATCCGGCTTCCGTTAACTTTGCTTGTCAGAGTCAGCTGGGAAGGTTACAAATGGTGATAACATGACTCCAGGACAGTGCAACTGTCATAAATACATGCGAGATGTCAAGTGTCCACATTTTGTTCACATGATGACCATGGGGATGCTGCAATGGTCATATAAGTATGAAAAACAGTTATGTCACCTTTTTCAGTGCAGCTGTGTTGGTAAAGATGAAGTCAGGAAAACTAAGTCTTGGAATGAAGTAAGATTTGCAATAAATGTCAAAAATAATTCTAAAAGTTTCTTTCAACATGTAAAAAACAACAAAAAAGATAATGATTGCTCCACTAATGGGAGAATATGGTAAGGAAATGACAGACTCCAGGGGGACAGCAGAATTGCTTAATTCGTTCTTTGTGTCTGTCTTCATGAAAAAGGGAAATATAGCCCAACCTACCAAAAGCAGAACCATAAAAGACAAATTAGGAATACAAGTTAAAATAAGTAAGAAAATGGAAAGACAACTCCTATCCACCCTAGATGAGTGCAAATAACTTTTGAATTGTTTTGACAATCCATGAACTAAGACAGATTCTTGGAAAACATGTTTTTGGAGTTTCAAATAATCTTGTATTCATTTGTATATTTATCCTCCAAACACGAAAGATTTGAATTTCAACATACAGTACAGTTAAGGCCCATAGGTAAATAATTACCACCCGGAAACAAATCTGCTTTCTAGCTGTTACAGGTTTTCCCCTGTATTATACTTACTGGAAGAAGAAATGAGATAAAAATTAAATCTGAATCTCTTTGAAGGCTTAAGAGTGTAGAGAACTGACATAACATGCTGAGCAGTGTGAGGAAGATTATTAATTTACAAAACAGTGAAGATAAAAGTAAAAAAATGGTAAGCTTGCAAGGGTCACAGTAAAATCTGTTCTTGCCTATGTCGAATTGCCAAAATTTTGAAAATAAGATTAAATATTTTCATTGTTTAAGAAATGAGCTTTTAATATACTGTATAGGAATAGGCACCTTATTTATAACTTTATAATTTTAGTAATTAATTTTATTTTAGGGTTGTCAGCCTGATATAATGATGTTGATACTTCAGCTAGCATCATCTGTGAATAATATGCACAGTTCTTTGTGGATAAAATTACTCAGACAATTTTTGGCTTGATTAAATTTTGGGTAGTACAGTATTTGACATGTAGGGCAATGACATCCATCTGGATCAATTTCATGCATAGGTCAGTATGAGTTATTCAAATGTAGTCTAACTTATTAGGTTACCATTGGTCAAACAACTGCTGTAATGATGAAAACAGCAACATAAATCTATCAAGTTGGCAGAATTATAGAATTAGATTTGAGTCTTCATTTGGGACCCCCATGCCCATTTCTCTCATTCAGTGTTATGTAGTGGGTAAACAATGTTTTAAATAGGAGAAATTTTGTTTTTCTTCTAATAAAAAGATATTATTTAATATATCACCAGCCAGTCTTCTCCATTGACCTGCCAGAGTTGTGCTTCTAAAATCCAGCTGTTTCTATATCGCTGCTGTAGCATGGATGAAATACTTTCCCCTTGAGAAGCACTTACTGAAATTTTTAAGTGCTAGTAACCTTCTTGGGTACGGCAGCTGTTTCTAGGGATTTTGAGCCAATTGGAGAAGCTGTGAAAAACAAAGTTGCTCTGGCAACATTAACAGTACATGAAAAATTGCCTCATATTAATGAATATCTAACCAAAGTGGGGTTTTTTTAAATAAACAGAAATAATGCTGTGCCTTGGGAATAATTCAAGTTTCTTCCTCTTGAGATAATTATACAAAGTGTGTAAACAAAAGCTCACATTTGCCATTATTGCCTACAAGTACCGTAGCAGTAAGACTTGAATGGCTTACTGTTAAATGCAGTTACTTTCAATCTCCCCTCCAACCTAAAAAAAAAAAAAAATCGGGAATAATTTTAGATTTGTCTATTTGTGTTGCAGCACGATGAAAGTCCAACCCTCGGTGGAAACATGGTCAATCTCTGCTTTATAGTTATGCTCAGTTTTCTGTGCCAAGTCATACTTTGTTCTGTAACCTATGTGAATTGAGCAATATGTAACACACACTTGATACATTTTATTCCAGTCGTAGGATATTGGTGTCCTCAGGTGTAGCTTTGAAGGCGATACACAATCCTTATCAGAGTTGCCTAAATACTTTTCTAGCTTATCACATCCATAAGGAATGACACAAACTGCCTATTTTCTCCTTCAATTTATCATTCTATTAGTTGTGCTAGCACCGGCTATCTTGCCTTTCATCCCCTGCTCTAACAGTCCTTCCAGAAAGCAAAATCATTTTGGCCTAGTGACGCAGGAGGTTGTGCTGCAATAGCAGCTTCCAAACCATCTTGCCCAGAATACACCTTTGTGAAGAAGTATGGTTAGACTGAGGTATCGGGATTCCCGAGAGTAATCATTGCATCATTCTGAAGAAGGCAGCAAGCTCCTTGGAGATATTCCAGAGAGACACAGATTGCTTCCCTATAGTTAGGTTTGTTGCAGTAGGCATGTTCTGGGATACTTTGCCATAAAACAGAGAAGGATAAATCTTTTTTTTTGCCACACTTGGTCTTTGTGCTTTGCCTGAGGATTGCAAATATTGTTGTATGACATATAGCATCACCAAGGGACAAAAAGGCTGCCTTAAGCAATTTTGTAATTAAATCTCCCCCAGTGGTAAAAATTGGCCCAGTGTTTTGGAGGAGAGTATTTGGGAGTTTAAAGAGATACAATGGATACTTTAGAACTCCATCATCCAGTACAGTCTATTTTGCCTCTTAGCCATCACCATTCAGTTCTTCTCTGTAAATCAGGTTTCAACATTTCAGCCCACCCATTCTGAGGTTCTCAAAGGCTGAAAATGGAGTGCCAGAGAACTGCCAATTGCTTCCCCTTGCTCCAAGAACTCTGGTGCATCTGCTGGGGCTGTGCTTGATGGTAGGTATGATCATTTCCCTGTAAAAGGAAACAAATAATTTGAGATTTAGAAAGGATACTTCTGTTGATGATAGTATATAGCTCCCCAGCTATAAATGAAACATAAAATTAAGCAGGTTCCTTCTGAGATGTTAAAATCAGAATCAGAATAGAACTGGAAGGGAACTTGGAGGTCTTCTAGTCCAGCTCCCTGCTCAAGCAGGAGATCCTATAGCAAGTGGCTGTCCGGTCTCTACTTAGAAATCTCCAGTGATGAAGCACCCACAACATCTGGAGGCAAGCTGTTTCACTGGTTAACTGTCCCCACTGTTTGGACGTTTCTCCTCAGTTCCAAGTTGCTGTTCTCCTTGATTAGTTTCCATCCGTTGTCCTTCCTCCTGGTGCTTTGGAAAATAAATTGACCCCTCCTCTTTGTGGCAGCCTCTCAAATACTGGCATACTGCTGTCACAGTGGTAGTCAACCTGGTCCCTACCACCCACTAGTGGCCGTTCCAGCTTTCATAGTGGGCGGAAAGGGTTTTGTCCCCTACTTTATAAATCACCATTACTGTGGAACCAGTGGGCAGTTAGAGAAAATTGTACTACTAACAGAGATACAAAAGTGGGCAGTAGGTATAAAAAGGTTGACTACCCCTGAGCTATCATGTCCTCCCTAGTCCTTCTTTTTTCTAAACTAGCCAAATCCAAATCCTTCAATCGTTCTTCATATGTTTTAGTCTCCAGTCCTTTAATCATCTTAGTTGCTCTTCCCTGCACTTTTTCCGAAGTCTCAATGTTGTCTTTATAATGTGGCCAAAACTGGAGGCAGTATTCCAGGTATGGTCTTACTAAGGCTTTATAAAGTAGTACTAATACTTCATGTGATTTTTATACTATGCCTCTGTTTATACAACTCAGGACAGTATTAGCTTTTTTGACTGCTGTCACACATTGCTGGCTAATATTCAAGTGGTTGTCTACGCCAAGATTCCTGACACAGTTACTGTTTTTGAACCAGGTTTCGACTAATCTGTACTTGTACCTTTGGTTTTTCTTGCCCAAATGTAAAACCTTGGTTTTCTTCACATTAAATTTCAATTTAATGTGTGAATTATCAAATGTAATATATTTAATAAAATGTATGTTTCTTGTTTAAAGAAAACAGTTGAAAGTAAAATCCATTTCTGTATTTTTAGGAAACACATAGGTGTCCTACATGAATTACGAAAACCCTCCACCATATCCTGGCCCGGGCCCAACTGCCCCTTACCCACCATATACTCAACAACCATCAGGCCCTGGTCCGTATCCTGCCTATCAGCCGGGGCCTACAGGGCCATATCCAGCTGGTCAACCAGGCTACAATGGTTACCCACCATACGGATGGCAGAATGCTCCACCTCCAGGACCAGTCTATGCAGATGGACCTAAAAATACAGGTAATACAAATAACTTGTATGAAATTATGTAGATTTCATGATTTATTACAGTTCTAATAGTTAAAGTGATTAAAGCATGTTAATGAGAACATGCTGTTCTCCTTTCTGTGGTTGTGAGAGTCCAGGTAAGGGTTAACTCCCATCTTCTAGCTGATTGGACTGAGTCTGTCAAAGCTGCTTTAGCTCTGCCTCTGTTGCTGGCTTTGCCCAGCTGTCGACTGAGTCCCTCAGCCAGGATAGACATGTGGTTTGCCTCTTGTAATTTCGGTTTCGATTGCATCTCCAGCCTTCCCACTGGCTCTGTGTCTGCTGCTATTTGGCCCACCCACCCACCCGCCCAAGCTCTTACCTGTCCTTTATTTCCTGCTTTTTCAACCTCAGCTGCTTTGCACAGCACAGCTGAGGTTGAAAAAGTGAGGGAAAAATGATTTTTCAAACGCTGCGCACCTGCCCGCAGTGATTTTCAGCTGTCCGGGTGGCACAGCTTAAGGTTTTTTACACCCGCACATGCGCGCAAAGTGTGTGTGCAAAACGTAGACACTGAACCGGTAGTAACACCAGTTGAATCCCACCTATGGTCCAGCCCCGCCCTGGGTACATCTGGTCTGGGACGCAGGCCGCTCAGGTGGGGAGAAATGAAACACATCTGGTCTGTCATGTGACTTTGCCGAAAGTTGGGAAAAGCCAGCAACAGAGACGCAGCTAAAACAGCTTTGATACACTCAGTCCGATCAGCTAGGAGACAGATTTAACCCTTACCTGGACTCTCTTACCATCAAAGAGAACGAACGTATCAGATAAGACCAACATTCTTTCAAAGGGTGTTTCTCAGTATTGCTATAATTTTATCCAACTTGGCGATTCTTTGAAAATAAGGAAGGATTTCTTTTCTATGGAAAAGAATTCTTTTTTTTTTTACTATGTCTATTACCTTCACCCTTATTTCTTCTCTATTCTCCAACTGATAGTGGTTAGGCTTGATCCAGAACTGGTCAACCTTCTCAAAAGTCAAGCAGGGTTGGACCTTATTAGTATCTGAACAGGTGCCTACCAGGAAATTCCATAATAGTAGGTGATATTAATTAGTTAGGTTCAAGCAAAAATACTTGAAGTTTGCTATGTAATATGAAGTAATGACATAGTTTCAAATATAATGTAACCAAGGAATATTTTACTGCATTAATTTGCTACAAATTGGAATTGGAAATGAATGAGTGTGAAACCATATAGCCATGGAATATGCTTTAATACTAATCTTTATTTAAATGTTTTTCCTATTTTACCTGTTATAATTGCCTGACATTAAATCGCCTGTAAAGGTAGCGATTGGATTATAGATTATATAATTCTTGCACAGGAGTTGAAGAGAATTCCTGGCATCAATAAAAATTCATGAAGACATAGAGGAGGGTTATCAAGATTAGTTGATGTTTCTTAATGGATGGTGATCAGGAATAAACAAAGTAAACATCTTGATTATTGCGAATTTGGTTACTGTAAGTCTTATCTGACTCTTGTGGATTTTGTTTTACAAAATTAACTTGCAGATAGTCTCATGCTGCCTGCCTGTCTTCCTCTCATCTTCCCACTTTAGCTCCTTGTTCTGAATGTGTCTAACAAGTTTTTTGTTTCACCCAAATGCACACAATGTTTTTTGGTCTCGTCTGACCTGAGGGACTACCTCTGAAAAATTCTGCATTCATTCTTAATGCAGCTTGACAAAAACATATTCAAACTAATCTTATGCTTAGATAATAATTTAAAATGAATAATAAATTATCATTAATGGCCATGCCTTGTTTATTGTTTTACAGCTGATTTTGTTTTTAAAAAATTGTTTTGCTCCCAATATTAACAGGTGATCCTTTTATAGATCACCTTTCAGAGCAGTTATTAACAATCCTTGTTTCTTCTAAGTTTAATCAATAACTAATAATCTATATAGGTGGAAACCAAACAGAAATTCTCATGATAGAAGCAAAGGTAACATACCTCGTTTTTAAATAAAACCATTATTTGTAAAGAGTAAAGTGGTACTTGTCATAAATGTCAAAGCCTACAGATAAAAAAAAGCAAGATTAACTCTGACCTACAGCGGATTAGATAACAAGTTTCCAAGGAGGCTGGTAGTTCAGTTTCAGTCAAAGGGTTTACATGTGTGCATATGTGTTTAAGTTTTCAAAACCAATGGCAGAACCGGGTGGGGCAGAGGAGACTTTAGCCTTAGTTTTTATTTCCAAGAAAAAAGGGACTAGAAGAGTTCGATACAAAGTGTCCATTTTAGGCTAGTTCAATTACAGAAAGTTGTAGGTGCTATCTGCACTCAACTGAAAGGCACATGAATTTCTAGGCTCAGTTAGTCTTGGTGGTGTTCCCACAACTGTCATAAATCAAGTTAAGAGAATTCTGGTTGGCTAATTTTTCAGAAAAGAACCCTTCCCATTTTTCAAAGTATCTCCTTGTTCTCGCTGTTATCAAAAGAAAAGAACTGATATATTAGTTTAATAGCCAAGATGTAAGATGAAATTCAGTTTTGATTTTTTTGTTTTAGCTACTACTCCTTGTTCGAACTTAAAATCATGAACATCATTTCCTTCTGCTTGTGAGGGATTAGTGATGACTGTTTGGAATATAGTCCAAAGATACTGAGTGACGACAGATCGAAAGGGGGTCCGCTTTACATTTGATAGTTCATAAACAAGTGGCTAAAAGGAAGTAGAGGCAGTCCTTCACCCCAATTGAGCCTACATTTTTTATTGTGAAGTGAGGCATTTGTAAAGTGAGCTTTGTCCCATTTTACGGCCTTTCTTGCCTCAGTTGTTAAGTGAATCACTGCAGTTGATAAGTTAGTAACCCAGTTGTTAAGTGAATCTGGCTTCCCCACCGACTTTGCTTGTCTGAAGGTCACAAAAGGTGATCACGTGTCTTTGGGACGCAGCAATGGTATTAACCACTTGCCAAGCATCTGGATTTTGATCACATCATCATGGAGATGCTACAAAGAGTATAATTGTGAAAAGTGGTCATAAAATGCTTTTTTCAGGGCTGTTGTAATTCTGAATGGTCCCTAAATGAGCTGTTATAAGTTGAAGACTGCCTGTATGCTATAACATCACTCTAAAAGTCTGTTGCTTTTAGTATATTATACAATATGGAATAATCGAGTTGGAAGGGACCTTGGAAATCTTCTAGCCCAACCTACACCCTATGCTATTTTAAACAAATAGCTGTCCAATCTCTTAAAAACCTTTAGTGAGGGAATACCCACAACTTCTAGAAGCAAGCCATTCCCTGACTGTTATCACTGACTAGAATTTGCTCCTTAATTCTATGTTGGATCTCTCTTTGTTAAGCTTCCACAGGTTATGTCTTGTCCTGCCCCTCTTCTTTTAGAGCCCCTCTTCTCTGTGGCAACCCCTCATACACTGCTGTTATTAATCTTTCTCTTCTTAGACTAAACTTATCCAGTTTCCACAAGTGTTCATTATAAGGTTTAGACTCCAGTCCCCCAATCATCTTTATTGCTCTTTAAGCTTTCTATGGTCTTAAATGTTTTTTTACATCGTGGTGACCAAAACTGGACACAGTATTCCAAGTGTGGTTTTTTCCAGTGCAGCATAAAGCGGTACTAGTACTTCAATGTGACATTGATATTATCTCTCTGTTGATGCCCATAGGACTGCAATGGCTTTTTTAGCAGCTGCAACACACTGCTGCCTCATACTTAAGTAGTTGTGTACCAGGACACCTAGATCTCTGTCACAGTAACTGCTCTTGAGCTGATTCTGTTCTATATCTATGCATTTAGTTTTTCTTGTAAGATTTTAGTTTTCTCAACACTGAATTGCATTTTGTCACATAGGGCCCAGTGTTCAAGTTGGTCAAGTTCCTTGATCTTAAGTCTATCTTTTAAGCGCCAATGGAAATTCTATTTTCTAAGGTGTTGGCTATTTCCCCCAACTTGATGTCATTTGAAAATTTGATGAGTTCCCCATCTATCCTTTCATTTAAATAGTTTTGAAGATGTTGAAGGTTACTGGACCTAAGACAGAAGTTTGGGGTAGCCCACTATAAGTTTTTCTCCATATAGAGTTGAACCACATCCGCCCATTTCCAATCTTCTGGTAGTTCCCCAGTGCTCCAGAATCTTTGAAAGATATGGTTCAGTGGTTCTGAGAACGTATCTACCAGTTTCTTCAGAATGCTGGAATGTGATCCATCTGATCCTGGTGATTTGAAGTCTGACTTACATATCCCTGTACTTCTTTCTTACCTTAACCAGTCCCTCTCATTGTTGAGAAAATGGCAAAAAAAAGGAAAAATATGGAAAAATAATGCAGGTAGTCCTCGACATAACCAAGTTTTAGCGATCGTTCAGAGTTACAACAGCACTGAAAAAAGTGACTGATGACCATTTTTCACAGTTGCAACCTTTGCAGCATCCCCATGATCATGTGATAAAAATTCAGACGCTTTGGCAAGTGGTTCATACCATTGCTGTGTCCCAGGGTCACGTGATCCCCCTTTGCGACCTTCTGACAAGCAAAATCAATGGGCAAGCCAGATTCACTTAACAATGGGATTACTAATTTAACAACAGCAGTGATTCATAATTGGAGCAAGAAAGATTGTAAAATGGGGCAAAACTCACTTTAACAACTGTCTCGTTTAGTAACAGAAATTTTGGGCTTAGTTCTGGCTGTATGTTGAGAACAATCTGTTCAGAAATATGAACAACATTATAACAGGAACTGCAGCCTATTTACAACTTTGGTTGAAATGTCACAAATGGAGAGAACTGTGGCACATTACTGTATAATTACTGCATTACTCTCTATAATAGTGTGGGTGAGTCAGAATCTATATTACAGTCTGTAGTATCAAGGGCAAAGGTGGAGGACTAGATTTGCTCCAGAATATAAAGGAGAAGGACTTAAAGGAGCTATGGCTCCCCATCTTGCCTTGCATACAGAAAAACAAAGGACACATATAAAACATAA